GTGTGTGTGTGTGTGTGTGTGTGAATTCCTGCTTGTGTAGGTGCACATACACAGTGGCTTTATGGGGGAGGAGGCGAAGGGGTGTCACTGACAAAGTTAAAGATAGATTAAAGACGCCACATCGCAGCCTCACAGCTCACAGAAGAATCAATTAGACGAGTCTGGCTTCTTCGATGAGCTGCCAGAAAAAAAAACATGAATATGTTTCATAGCCGACATTGAATAAGCACTTACAGCACCTGTTTGTTAAGATTTCAAAATCTGACCTTTTCTGGCTTTTCACTTGATCAGCAGCAGTGTCATGATTCACGATCACCCCTGAATGCAACATGAAAAGGCCCTTTTCTCTTTTACACACACACATACACACTCACATAAAAAGTGATTCTAGCCTCCCTTAATAAGCGTGTGTCTTGGCTGAAAGTGGGTTAATTAAGAATGAATTCTTCACTAATGAGTCACAAGGAGCATTAAACTCTGCCGCTGTAAATTACTATGCAGCCACTGTACAATGGTGGATCACATCGACCTGAATAGGCCTGAGTCAAGTAAACAAGTGAGAAACATCCCAAAAACTGCACTTTGGTGCAAAAACACAAAACTGGCAATAACTCAAATGTTTTTTTACAAACCCATCACTTTAACCTGTTAGTCTGTTTACTCACAATAGAAACCACAAAAAAAAAATAAAAGACCAAAGGAAGAACTCGAACTTGTGTTGGTTCCACAGTCAACAGCACATCATGGATGAGTGATCTGACATTTATTAGAAACATTTGTTCAGTTACACATTGTTGTCAACATGTTACACACATGGTTTGGCGCACGGAGGAGGACGAAGGGCTTCCCCGTTAATATGGACCCGCTCCTGGTGTCAGGGAAAAGATCAGTGTCGGTTCTCTGGCTGCGCCTTTTAAAAACCGACCTTCATAGAAACACCATGAGAGGAGCGACATATTAACATGAGCGCGCACACACGCACGCACGCACGCACGCACGCACGCACACACACACACACACACACACACACACACACACACACACACACACACACACACACTGTAGAAAAATAGAGTGATCACTAATTGAATCCAGTTTCCACTTATCCAACACTTTTTCATACAAAAAAAATCGCTATTAGCAATTAATCAATTACGATCGAGACAAGCACAATGAGTCAACTTATCAATGTTTCAGTATATCAGCCTGGGGAGAGGCTTCAGCGTGATTTCAGGCGATGAGTCCTGTTTATGTCTTTATGTCTTTACGCGTGAAAAATAAACCAACACAATGTGCCCTGTGAGAGCATTTGATAGCAGCATCTGATAGTTTGCACTGTGGGCTGGACACTGAGGCAGAATGGGCAGAGCAGCAGGCGGTTCAGCATCCTCAGCTACACATGGAGCACCGGTGTCTTGGAATTCACCAGGTCGCTCCTGTACTGCTCCAGCCAGTCCCTGAGCCCCGATATTTGGTATCCCTCCGGACCCCTGCCCCCCTGGTACACCACCCGCTCGTCCCTCACGATGTAAAGTCTCTCAAAGTAGGCTCCGTACGCGGCGTTGGACGAGTTGTCCATGTTGTCCACCACCACGTTGCCCCCGGGCACCTCGCTGAGCATCAGCTGCGCGGCTCGGAGCCGGTCCTCCAGGCAGCGGTGCTTGGGGATCTGATACGGCGCGTCCGAGCTCACCCAGCCGTCCGAAGGATGCGCCTCCTCGATATATACAACTAAAAAGTCCGCAATGTCCGCGTACTGGCTCACGACGCGCTGAAACGCGGCCAGGCGCGTCATGAACGGGGGTCAGGAGCAGCTGCCAAAGTTAAGAATGAGCGGTCTCTTCCCTTTCATGCAGTCCAGGATCCGGACCTGCCGCCCCTCCTGCACCAGCACCACCTCGGTGTTGGGCGCCGCGCGTCCGAGGTGCGCGGATTTGAAAAAGTCCAGCCTCTGGCCGTACCACACAGCCCTGAGGGACTCCAAGGTGAACATCTTGTTGGAGTCGGAGACACACACCGGCGGGTCGTCCGGGCCGTCCTGCCTCTCCCCCATTTTCAGCAGCACTTTTTTCCTGATGCACAAGAAATCCAGGAGCCAGAGCATGACGGCGGCCAGGAGGAACCGGGGCAGCAGCATCAGGCACAGCGCCGCATGCTTCAGCGCCCTCGCCATTTGGACACCGCCGGAGTCGTGCACCATCTCTTTCCCCCCCAAGACGATGGGATGCGACTTGGCCGGCGAAAGAGACAAACTAGTATTTAGTCACCTTTACCCATTGGAGAAACTATCTGACGCACACAGGCGCCCTTTTTATAGGTACAGCAGAATTTGAATAATGGAAAAAAAGAAAAAAAAACACGCCTCCGGTACCCGCACCGCCCACTCACATGGTGGGGATTACCTCCCGTCAACTCCGGGCTTCGAACATCCAGGGAGAGTCTGGAACACGGTGTCCAGTCCACACGTGAAGACTCAACATGACAGCGCGTGGATCTCTCTCATCCCGTCGTGACACAGCAGCAGCAGTGTGATCTGTCTGAAGCTGGACGCACAGATGCTCCTGAAAGTCACGAAAGAGAGAAACATTTGACTTCACGTCATTTCTGCCTGTGAACTCAGATCTGTGTTGAACGTGTGCAGGAGCCTCTGTGGCCACTAGACGGCGCTGGTTTCCTACACACCGCAAAGACCTGGATGAGTCATTCGGTGATCCGCCTCAGAGCTCACCCAACACCCAGAGAGATACAGAGAGGCAGCATGAACCTGCCACACCAGTTTCATAATATGACACGTTTTCGGTAAATTACAGGTCAGGTTTTCTTTTGACCACCTTTTACAAAGCAATACAACAATTATTTTGCACCTTGACGACCTGGCAAACAGGCTTCTCAGCCTCAAACGCTGGAGTAAATGTCAAACAAAATTCAATAGAGAAATATTGCCTTGTGTTTTGTAATCTCATCTAATCTGCAGAGATATAAAGCGCTGACAGTTTGGTCTTAACATGACCGTCGCGTGAACGTCAGCCATATTACCTCACTTTGAAACTTTCCACTTTTTCACAGGTGTTGACAGGAAGGCATACGTACACACAGTATGACAGCAGATCTGTTAGTGCTGGCATGTGTATGACTTTTCATCCTGACCCCCAAACCCCTCCCTGCCACTGTGTGTGTGTTTTTAATCAATGTCCCTTCTTGTCCCCTCCTGTCTTCCTCTACCCTCCTGTGTGCCCTTGTGTCTCCTCCACAAACAGATGGAAAAATAAAGCCCAATATCGTCAACACAAACTGCCCTGTTACTATGGATATTTTAGCTTTTAATGCGTGTTATTATCCCAATTGGCAGAAACTTACATCAGAGAAACGGAGGGGACGCTGACCCCAATAGCAGACGGCGGTACTGAGGGAGTAGCACGCAGAGGTGGAGGGAGATGTCAGGACAACAGAGAGAGGAGAGAAGATTTATATAAGTGAGAAAAGTGGCATCTGGAGATAGCAGACAAGAGGAGAAGGGAGGAGGCAGACGTGTGAAGAGCTCCTTCATCAGGTTGCGGAGAAAAATACAAGCACTCGATGAGGTGGTGTAGTCCTCTGATTTATGAAATGTCTGGGCCATGTGAGGACTTACCATAAACAGATTCATTGTACTTCAGAATCAGACGTGAACGCACAAGTGTGATGATTCAAGCTGAATCACAAGGGAGACATTTTCCTCACCCTCTCACCTGGACACACACGACAGAGAGAGCTGCAAGGCTTTAAATCCTGGGTCACACTATCTCTCAGATATGATAACGTCACATTCACCAACGTGGTTGCTGAGATGTGAGAATGCGGCCTTATCACTAACACTGAAGTCCTCTGAGGCAAGAAGCAAACAGCCGATGAACAGAAAAACCAACAGTTTAGGGTGAGTTCATAAGATTTACTATCTGTGAGCCTTCATGTGATCAAGAACCCTAGATAGCAGCCTTCTTGTGCTACTGATATCACTCATTACAGAGACTCTAACTGTCTCAATTATTTAAACACAAACTAGACAAATGCAACCAACCAACCAACCAAGCAACCAACCAGCCAGAAAGCCAGCCAGCCAGCCAGTCAACCAGTCAACCAGTAAACCAACCAACCAACCAACCAACCAACCAACCAACCAACCAGCCAGCCAGCCAGCCAGCCAGTTAACCAACCAGGAATGATACTATAACCTTGGAGGTAAGTAATTTAGACATTGGTATCAAGGCCCCCAAAGATCATTTCTGTTTTCAACCCGGCCACTTTTACCTCTTTCTTATGGGGTACATTATACCAACCTCCTCCAGTGTTGCCATGCTTCTTTTTGTCAGATAATGGATGCATTACTTGACAACCCTGCCAACACAAATGACGCATGGAAGTACGACCGTTACATCTTTTGAAACTGACGTATCTCTTGACGTACATGAAGGCAGAATAAATGAGCCTTGAGTATAAAGAAACAGCTTCACAGGTGGAAATACTAAACACGGGTTTATTTAAGAGTAACAAACTCCATCCATCAGCGCCTCCAAAGCTCACTAATTGACACAAGACATGACAATACCATGAGGTTGCTACAGGGAACCAGTGGAAACTGCATCTGGCCAAAAGATAATCCACCACATGGCTCTATAAAACCACAATGTTTTGTTTGTGCGGATCAGACAAACAAGATACAGTATAACATGTTTATTAGTGAGCTTTAGAGGGGCTTATAGGCAGGTTTGTGTTACCTTTGGACAGAGCCAGGCGATAGCTGCTTCCTCCTGTTTCCAATGTTTATGCTAAGCTAAGCTAAGAGAGATTTTTTGAAATGTCGGATCTAAACAACTTGAAATCAGCTATATACTGCCTGTGAGAAAATACTTAATACTCATCTTTTCATATCCATGCAAATGAGATTCATTCAACATGAAGTCAACACACTGAGGACAGCAACAAGGCTTTAGAGGATAATTCCCATCTATTTCAACTGGGATCTTACGTTTGAAGCTTCGGTCACCACAGGCCATGATGACATTTAACTGAGAGTGATAATTAAGATCTGGGAACACTGTGACACTTGAAAAAGAGAGAACTCCAAACTGACTCCATAATTGATACATGGACGTTTCAGATTTGCACAAATTGTCCATGTGGCGGTTTTAAAGCCAAATTAGAGTTTGGCCCTTAGCTTTGTTTTTCATTATGTACCACTTTAAGGAGCCAGCACTCAGTTATCGTGGTATTATTTAGAGTTGAGTGTGTTGAATGAAGAGAGTCAAACAGGCAGTATGATGATCAGACACGTTGTGCGTTAGCGGTAACTCAAACTTTATTTGAAACCGGAAGTGAATGCATGATAAATATAGTGGGTAGAAATCTTCACTCCACAGTGAAAGTGTATTCGTTGAAGTGGGTTGAAGTTGAACCAGGAAGTTGGTCTATAAACCATGATGAGCTGCTTTCTGTTTTCTCCTCCAGATCCATGTGGCTCGCCCTGAGGGTTACTTTCAAACTGTCTGGTCATTACGACTGCTTTTGTGTCTTTTTAGGAATTAACACATAGATACAGAACCACCCATTGGAAAAAACGATTTAAGACGTAACAAAATTAAATTACCCTTTATAACACACACATGCACACACTCACTTCTTTGAGGCCGACACCTGCAATCACAGCACAAGACGCCCAGGCCAACTGGAGACACCTGGGACTGTTTAGCAGCTGTGGCACTGGAGGCCTATGATGGTTTCGCAGAACTAATAACAAACCAGATGTGCAACAGCTACACATCTCAACTACTTTTACATGCACATCTGCAAGCGTGAAGTTGGTTTGTTTAGTAAACAAAGTAGTAGAGAGTGATACCAGGCTCTTTCCACAAGAATTACAGTGTGACTATGTTTACAAGTACTGCACATCTAACACTAAACAGAATAAGTAACATTTAGGAGGTTACATTTTTTTATTATTAGCTTAATTGTCATCAAAGCTACGTGACTATCAGCTCACTGGATTTATCTCAAAGCTTAAGAGATAAGAAAAATAGAATGGTACTCAGTGGAGAGAAGCTCTAGTTCTTATAGTAGAAATGTTAAAGAAAAAAAGGAGGTGGTCTGAAAATAAAAAGATCTATTAAAAAACCGTAGTCCTATAAACAGTGGATATGAAAACCCTGTAACATTTGCTCAGTATGAATACCTGCTCAAGAGAAATAAAATTAACACAATATTATATAACAACAAAAAATATGTCAAGTGGAAAAGCTGAAGTTAAACAACAATACAAAACATTTTCTAACAAATAAAAAGACAATATTGAAATAATCAAGTGTTTAATACAGACAGACAGACAGACAGATAAGATATGCAGGTAGACAGATAAACAGCTATGAAAACATAACCTCCTTGGTGAAGGTAATTATATAATTCTAAGTATCGATCTCATTCATGAAAGGGAACTATCCTGAATGAATTACATCACATTATCTTCAAATGTCATGAGATGGTCCCTGCCTGAAGTGGTTTAACTGTTGTCCTGTGATAGCGTGAAACAAAAACAACTCTGACATTTAAAAATAAAAACCTCTATCCTGGGGTTGCAAAAACTTCTCTGTGCACGTCTCTCATGCATTTCATATTGTGTGAGCTCAAAAGGACTAGAGCCTCTATTTGGTTGTGATGATCACGGTTCCAAAAAAAAAAAAGGGGTAGACAGAACATTTTCCATTGAAATGGAAGTGACTCAGATGCTGATGTGCAAATGGACGACCCCTCAAGCAGCTAAAATCCAGCAAAGTAATGAAGTGAACTGATGAGATACTGTGCTGTCTCACGAAGCCTGTCGTTCTAACTCGAACATGGCCACTCCATTGATTTCATCCCAGTCTTAACATGATCTGGATTTACCAGATGACGCACATTTGTGTGTACAAAGGCTTAGCATATGACAGCAATGAGAAAGGGACTTGATTAGTTTAAACACTTGTTACAGAGGGAAGGTGATGATCTAATTGCACTTTACTCATCATGGACTAACCAAGAGGAGTTTCTTATCTGATGTAATATTAAACTAATGATGTAATTTGTACTGCAGGTCATTGAAGTGCTGCCAAACAAAGTGTTTACCTTGAAAGCGAGGAACGTCACCCGCCCTAGCCCAAAGTATCTAATCTGAGTCTGTAATAGAGGAACAATTTAACAGTGAGTCCTCTATAATCAGGAGTTCCTGTGAATGTGTCTCTCCACACAGCACTCTGTTAAACTGCTGCTGTGATCTGGATTAGACCACTGGCGTCGTTTGGCTGTTTACACCCAGGCTAAAACGAAGAAAAGACCATGTGTGCTGGCTTGCCGACAACTTATGGTCAGCGTTGAATTCTCTGGGCCGAATCTGATTTTCTTGGAACCGTTAGTA